CGGGGCCTCCGGCGCTCGCCGCCGCCTTGGGTTGGGGCCCGGCCGCCGACGCCTGGTAGTAGGCGGCGGCGGCGGCGGCTGCGGCGGCGGCGGCTGCGGCGGCGGCGGCCGCGGCGGCGGCAGCCGGGTGCTTGCTGCACAGCAGGCTCCGAAAATAAGTAGGGTCCGAGTGGAAAGCGACGTAGTTTCCCTGGAGCGGGGCAGTTTCATAGTTTAGAGGGGGTTTGCAAGGCGAGCGCACGATTTCCGGGTAGTGCGAGCCCGGATATTTGCTAAAAATCTGAGGTAGATGGGCGGCTGGGCGCACGACGGCGGCGCCTGGGCGCGGGGACTGCGCGCTGATTGGCAGGGGCCGCGCGGCTCCACTCAGGCCCCGCCAAAGTTGGTGCTTGTCCTTCCAAAAACCCGGGCGGGGGCTGGCGGCGGCGGCGGCGGCGGCGGCGCGCTCTGGCGGCGGCGCCTTTGTGGCCAGGGCCCGGCCGACCCTCCTGCGCTTGGTCTTGAGGACGCGCTCGGTTTTGCAGGAGGTGTAGAGCGCTTCCACGTCTTCCCGGGAGATGAGAGTGCATTTGGCTGCGTGGAAGGCGATGCTGTTGATTGCCTTGAGTTTCCGCAACTCCTCCAGATCGCAGTGGTGCTTTTTCACTTTCAGATGATCCATGCGCTTGTGCACGGTCGTCCTCGGGATGTTTTTCAGCAGATCCGTGAAGACTTGGGAGAGGGCAAACATTTGCTTTCCTTTAATGATGAGGTAGCCGAGCCTCACGCCATCCACCTCTTCAAAACCTGACTTCAGGTCTCCCATCTCGGGCACTAAACGATCCCCACCATTTGCAGTAAATATATACGTGACGCATACATACACATGTATGTATGTTAATCCTCCACCAGATGCTGCGTGTGTCTCAAGGCATCCTGCTAATAAAATAACAAAGACTGTTATTCCCGGCGAAGGGAGTGCCAAACTCTAGGCGAAATTATTGGGGGGAAAAAAAAACTATGAAATTACACTGACTTGATTCTTGCTTTTTTTTTGGTTTTCGTTTTTTTAAAAAAGAGGGGAAAAACCATCCGGTTTCTGATCTGCCAGTGTGTTGGTCTAAGTCCCCGATGCAGATCAGTACCTGGGCCCCTCTATTCCTTCCTTCTCCATTGGAGCACTATGATAATGGAATGTGAAGGGAGAAAGAGAAAAGAAATGCAGCTGCTATTCCCGCCGCTGCTTTAGCTACAAATAAAATGACAGAGTGAAGTGAGCTCGTCCGGAGACACCTTCATCAATTAATTCCCCTAAAGCCAGCGCTGATTGGACACTCCTGACAGGTGATGCAATAAAAATTGATATTCCACCCCTTCCCCCCAAAATCTCCCACTAATTAGCATACCCTTATACTGCCACCTCCCCTCCCAAAGTAAATAATACAGTCGGTATATAAATCTTTCCATTAAACTATCGGAGCTCAGAAACAGGCTGACTCACAGACTTCATCAGAAGCAGTGTGTGTACGCTTTAAAAAAAAAAAAAAGCCCTGTATATTCGCCTTTAAAGGAATATTGCCTATTTTTGCTTTATTTGCATTTTACCGCTATAGCTATTATCATTTCAAAGAAAAGCAGTTTTAAAACATTATCAAGCCTAAATACATATACCCCACCCCCTTGTCCTTTGGAAAATGGAGCTTAAGTGAAAACGTGCAGAATAGCCTGGTATTTCCCTTATGGGAGTGGGGCAAGGAGCCCGGCTGGGAGCTCCAAAGTTAAATCCGCGCGGTGAACCACCCCAGTACAGACTTACGTTTTGAATTTCTCTCGATTATCCTTGTTCCCTCCCCCCCCCCGCCCTAAAATGCCTTTTTACAACCAGAAACAAAGTTATTTGACCAAGGAAGCAGTTCAAGGCTCCAGCTCCGAAACACTAACAATTCAACTGGATTTTGGTTCTCTGCTGGGGGGTGGGGTGGGGAGGAGGTAGTTTCACGTCAGACCCATAACAAAGCATAGATAAGCCAGAAATGTGTACACTTTTCACAATTAACCAGGCTGGATTGGAGGCGGGATGGTCCTAGAGTCCCCAGCACAGCCTTAGCCAGGGTCCTGTTCACGACAGGTCAGAATTCCATGGAGCAGATTGCTTCTGAAGCAAAGAAAAGAAAATGTAAAACGCCCAAGGTGTTTCCATAGGTTTTAGGTAATAACGATGAAAAGAAAGTGTTGATGTACGATGCAGACTATTTCAATGGTCTGTGATGCTCTTGGTTGGTAGTTTAAATGAATCTTCCACAGCTCCCAATTTTTTCCCCATGAAAGCCAAGCATCTGCTTAAAAAAAAAATCACTTTGGATGAATATCAATATTGTTTAACCTCTTCTTAGTCAAATTAAAGTATATTTTGGTGTCATTTTCAAGGATATCCAAAATATTGCCAAATGAGAGCAAAGGTCTTCCCAGTCGCATTACCACGATCCCAAGGCGGTTTGTTGAATGCTTTGCAAAATTCAGCAAAATCTTCTTAACTGTTCGGTGTTTGGAACTAGAGCATAAATGCAACTCAGGCATTTATATGTTTCCTTGTTCTTCCAAAAATAGACACATCCGTGTGCTTAAAAGAATAAACGGATATTTCTGAGCCTGAAAGAAAAAAAAATGTACAATAATTTCTTCCTTCACATTCAAAAGTTCCAGCTTCCCCTGCTCTGGTCTGGCTAGCACAAGCAGGTATGGCTCAAAGAGAGAGAGAGAGAGAGAGAGAGAGAGAGAGAGAGAGAGAGAGATTAAAAAACGAGGAATCAGACATACAAAAAGGTAGTTTGCATGAAATGAAATCTCGGCCATAGTTCCCCACCCCCACCCTCATCTTCCTTGTAATTTCCCAGGAATTTTGAAGAGAATTGGGAATTTCAAGAAGTGCATCCGGAAATTAAGGAAGCCTATTTAAGAGAGTCTGTAACTCAGAGGTTGGGATTTGAAAAGTCAGCCCTGGACTACTGTTGCACTCAGCACAGATGTAATCGCCGCTCTTCAACTTAATCAATGTGTGTACAAACCGCGATGTCTAGTTCTTGCCTTTGAAATCTAAGGCTAGCATTTCCATCCAAGAAATCAGAGCTACAGCAAATTACATTTTTGTCCCTTGAATGAGAGAAGGATCATTGAATGGATCTCGTGATATTTCAGGCTTTAAACGTAACCGAGAGGCAGCAATGAACAATGCCTCGTCACAGCTAATACCATCCACCGAGTTGGCTTTCTTTTGCATCTGGATCTATCACACCGCGTTTTTCTCTTTCACTTTCGCAGGAGGCAAAATGGTAAAGGTTTAAGCAGAAAGCAAAGTTTCCGGGAAAAGCAGATGCTGGTGTTTTTTTTTTTAAATATAATGACCAGAGTCTACTGCTAGCGACAATAAGGTCGTTTTAAAATTCCTCCTGATGCACTTATATACTGCCAGCCCTCTCCCTCCCACCCCACCCCGTCCAATTCCCCTCCCCCAGCTTTAAGATTTCTACCAAAGAGTCAAACAGCCAAGAAATAGTAAACTCAAAAAAAGCCTCTGAGAAGACATTACAAAAGGTTGGCTAGAGCATTCTTTTTTTTTTTTTTTTTTT